TAGCACTTAAATATTAAATGCTTCAAAACAATTAAACACTGTAGCAACTCTGCCAAAGATGCATGCATTTCATCTGATTGAGTCCAAAAACATGTGATTTACACAAATGAAAATATACTAAAGGTACACAATAAAAGAGCATTGTATAACTGCTTTGTACATGTAACAACTACAAAATAAACATTTACCCAAGAACATGACTGTGTATTAGAAATAGCAGTATAAATCTATAAAAAGGGGGTTTCCCAATTTATTTCACATTCCTCCAAGTTAAGGAGGAAAATAACTAAAATTACATGATGAAAGCCAGTCAATCCTGGGAAGAATATACTTACAGAACAGCTTAGAGATGTCTACAGACAAAGCCCCACTGTGGTGAATATTTTAACCTCTTATTCTATAGCATTTGAGTTGACTGAGGAAAGTTGAGTTCCCACTTGCCTTTGAAGGATATAAACTACAATGCTAGCTAATCCTTTTCTACTTTTTTATTCCCAGCCCTCTCAGCTGTCTTGAATCACTTCCTTAAGCATAAAATGCCAGCAGGGACTATTAAATCATCTGGGTATCAGAGGCAAATAAATTTAACCTAGATGTTCCGTAGACTAGTCTGACTTTACTCAGCTGACCCCTAATGGGATTTAGTCAAATTTGACTGAGTGCCACCACTGAGGAATAGGAACCACCAAGTTCTCATACCAAAGACAGCTGCATGTCTAGGTGCTAATTAGGTGAGATTTACAAAACCAGTCCAGCTGGCAAACCACCTCCCACAGTGAAGGGAAAGGCAACTAGAGATAAGGCCCCTACCAGTCTCACCTGGAAGCAAAATCTTTACCAAGCCCAGATCTTCTGACTAGATCATCCAAGCAGATTTTATAAACACTAAATAATCTTGGAGCAATTCTTTCCCTCCACTTGGTCTCCTATCTCTTCTTGACAGCTGTAGGAAAGACAATAAACACAAAACCCTAGCAAGCAAACAAAATACAGTACAACTGCCCAGTTACATTTGAGTGGAAGACGGGAGCAATTCCTTCCCAACTATACAGGAAACCTCCTTCAGCTCTAAAATGTAAGACTGGCCTACAGCTACTGTCTTCATATGTTGTTAACATACCAAGCATGATATCCCATTTCACTCTCCTCAATGTAATAAAAAAGCAGGAGAGTAATACTGGGCATTCAGAAAGTCCCAGATTTTCAGGACAGAAAGTTACTGCAATAGCATAGCATGACACACAATGCATACGCACTTACACATAAAACACAGAGATTTCTCCTTCAAGCCAGATTAAAACTTCGCTTTTGCAAGCTGGGGACTGAGAGATACAAAACAAACATGAGTTTCTCAGATTTCCCTTTCCCAGGTCAGCCATTCTGATATTTAAATTGAACTCACAGCTAGAAACTTCTACCTTATGTCAAGATTGGAGTTTTCTAATTACAACTTCCCAGCACTTCCCAGCAAGGCTTTATCATGAATACTTAACACATGGGAACACGAATGAGTTATCATAGAACAAGGTTGGGTGTTAACTCTTGTATTAAGAACTGGTCTTATCCCATGGGAAATATGAGGCAGTTTACTTTCAGAGAGAAGGACATCGAGTCATCCCTGGCAAAACTATCCCTGTACACGCTTTATTGCCTTCCCATTCACATATGACAGGATGATCTCAAGAGACATAGCTTGTCCTGTTTTCCATGTGCAAGATAGCCCTGCACTATTTCCACCTCTGGTTTTATAAGAACTTGGGTTTCTCAATGTGCCAGGGCTTGGAGGTTTGTCTGTGCTACTAATAAGGAAACAAGGGGTAAAGCGCTGCCCACACTTCTGCTTTCTCTGACCTTCATTACTTAAGGAACAAGTTATGGTGACCTATTCCCATCAGGACCCAAATTCCAGTAAAAGTACTATATCATATCTCCCTATGTATTCTAGCATCCCAACAGCCTCCTGATGCTCATGTAGGTTTTCTAACATCAGTACAGATGCAATTAAAAATATATCCCTTAATGCAACTTTGTGCCAAATTAAATAACATAATGTATGCAAGAAGATTTTCACGGAATTGCTATGTCAGGGGTGAGGAGATGTGCCGAGAATATGAAACTGATGCAAGACAGGAAACAGAAAATTCATGAAGTAGTAAGCACTGGAAGGTCACTCTGACCTGATTTTCCATTTTCTTGCGGGACATCAGGCATAGTGTTTGGGAGTGCAGAGATAGCATTTGTTAATAACTTCATAATTTCTGTAGTCACAGCTGCATTACAAGTGCAGAAACAAGCACTGATCTGATAAGCTGTTCTAAAGCTTATTTTTATGGAAGAATCTTTCATTCTCTTCCATGCCGCTGAAATTAAATATCCCCTGAAATACATAGAATGGGCTTGTACAGGTTTCTTCCCAATTTCTATTGCAAACCTCATTGGTAACTTAATACATTGATTCTAGTTCCCAGTTTTCCTCAAAAACTTGCTTTTTCATTGTTTTTTATCTTGATGAATACATCCAAAAAAAAATTGGTTTTAATGAGATATTCTCACAGGTGCTCCTCAGCACACTGATTTTGCATACCATCTTCTGTAGATATGGTATCTAAGCCTAATGGCCCAAAGCTCTTCTGCATAGTCTCTTGGAGATGAAAATGCCCTCAAGACTCCTCTCCCTTTTGCACTATACCATGAGTAGCCACATATACAGGATCTTGCACTCAACTGCAAGAATGGTAGGGCTTTATTGGGATTTTTTTTGTAACACAATTTTTGCTCTGTGCAGACTCGTACCCACTTAAGAGATTGACAAGAAATGAAGTCCTCAGCTCCTCTGGAGGTTTCTCTTTCTCTCCTAGAATTAATAAGTATTCAGTCCAAAGATCAAAAAGTCTCCCTACTTTTTCACAGGGTTTTTGGATCCACTAAAACCAATTATAACCAAAGATGCTCTGTAGTGTCAGGCCTCTTCCTGGCAAATTTTTTTTGAAAGCAGAAGCCTTTAGAAGTCACTGGCCTCAAAATCCTCTCAGAGCATGTAAGAGTCTTATCTTTCTGGGTCCTGCAAAGATATACGTGTGCACTTCGGTTAGGACATGCGAGTAAACTTGTGAAACCCATGCATTTTACAGAATGCTCTGATTTATCCCAAATATCCAAGTGGGAAATAATGTGGAATAACATGTGAAATATCTCCTCTATGACCCCTCAGAGATGGATCAGGAAGAACAGAATTTCACTGCCTTTTTCCCCAGACAAATAGAGGAAACATTTGGGACAGTTACAAAACCAAAACAAAATCTATTGCTGAGCAAAAGAAATAAGGAGGCAAAAACATAGGACAAAGACGAATTTCAGGTAAGATTTTTAAATAGTTGAAAGCAGAAAAATAGAAGTTTTCACCACTTCGATTCATTTAAGAATCCCTATATTTTATCAAGTACTGAATTAGACAAACCCTGCAGTTAAAAAAACCGGACATGTTCTAGCTTGAGTTTTCTGCAGTTGTAGTGCAATGGAAGCTGTAACAAAAGTGTCTAGCAATTGTAAAAACTACTAATTTTCAGTACAAGCTGATAATAAAATCACGTATCTCCAGTGTCAAGCTCTGCATACTGGGACAGTGACTAACCCCGCTGAGGTGAACTGCAAAATTCTGCTGATGTCCTAAGGCAACTGCTGGTGAATCAAATAAAATAAATAGACAGACCCAAACATGTTCAGTCTGTACTTCACATGAGGACTGATGAATTATTCTTTGCTTGTCATATCACACTGCCCTTTTACAGGCATGAAAGCTCCTGGGGCTTCTTCCAGGGAACGCCCCAGCAGCTGCTGACTGCTGGTGTCACTTGTGAAGCCACTGCGGAGACTGGCTCATCTGCAACTTCCTTTTTGCATTGCCCATCTGAATTGTCCCTGGCTTATCCATTTCTATAGAGCAAGCAAGACCCTCTCTCATACTGTTTGATCCTATTCTATTTAACCACACTTTAGGAGCGACTCTGGTAAACCTGTGAAGAGGTATACATGGAAAGATTTGGGAAAAAGTGAAAAAGCTACAAAACCTACTCAATCTCACACCCACCCACTCAAAATGATTCCCAGTGAAAGCACTATAGTGAGGGCTGCACCAGCAAACAGTTCTTCTTTGTTCCCTGCATTATCAGGACTGAGTAGTCCACAGCTGAAAGGCAGGGGGAATGCTGAACAGTAATTTTCTTGTTAAAAATGCCTTCCACACAACTGCCTTCTGCATAAGCCTCTCAGTTCTGGGTGTAGAAGTCACGTTGGTTCAGCAATTGAGATTCACCTGGAGGTTTTCTCCACTGATCCACAGCCCACCTAAGCTTTTCCATCCAGCTTAACACTCCCCCCTGCTGCCCCCGCAAAATGCTCCCCCTTGGGTCCACATTCTTAAATATAAATCCAAACACCCATTTTAAACCACCCCACCTCCTCTTGGTAAGTCCAGCTTGCCCTCGACGAGGCCGCGGGCAGGAACTTTGAAAAGGTGTCCGGCTGCCTGCCCAGCGAGGCACCCGTTGCCCCACCACCTAACCCGGTCCTAGGCCCGCTCCTTCCCCGCAGCAGCCCCAACAGCACGCTGCGGCAGCCCACCTTCTACAGAACGCTTAGGGGTGACCAACACTGCAGAAAAATCCCTCTAATCGGTACAACCTCAGCCACTTCTCCCCAGACCTGGGCAGGTGCGAGGCGGCGGGAGAAAGGGAATACAGGCTCAGACACCCACAGCTAGAGATGTGTGTGAGCTTTATCCCTCCAATCGCAGTCATTATTTCACGGCCTCACCGGCGCCCCTCACTCGCTAACCGCCATGCCACCCCCATGGCCTCGCTGGCAGCCCCACCCCAGCCCCTCTAACAAAGGAGGCCCGTGGCTGCGGAGAGGGGTGGGAGTTATCGTTCTCCACAGGGACCCGCCCTCTCAGCTCCCTCCTTCCCAGCTGAGAGGGTGCTGCCCGCCCCGCACAGCCTCCTTCCTCCGTGGCTGCCCGCCCTATCTCCGGCGGCAGCAGCGGCAGCAGCACAAGGGTGCTGGCGGGCGGGCGGTGTCTCCCAGGCGGCCTTGCCCGGATGTGCTACCCTGACTCATAGTCGCGCCGCACGCAGGCTCCGCGCCGCTGCTGTGCTCGCCCGCCGCGCTTCGCGCACACGCCTCCCGCACCTCCCTCCGCGCCAGCGGAGAGGCGGTGGCTGCAGCAGCGGCAGGAGGGGAAGGAGGAGGAGGCCGCGGCGGCACCATGGGTAAGTCGCCCCAGCTCTGCGCTGTGTAGCCCCTGCCGCCGCCCCTTTGGCCCCAGAGGCCGCCGAGCGCTCGTCTCCTTTGGCGGGTGACTGGTGCAACTTCCTCGTCGGCTGCATTCCTCTCCTCAGCCCGGGCGGAGGACTGGGGTGCCAGCGGGGCTCCGCCGAGCTCCCCACCGGCGCTGCCGTGGCCACTGCCCGGCCCCTGCGGCGCAAAGTTTCCGCGGCTCCTGCGCTGCTGCTGCTGCCTGCTCTGCCCCAGCCCGGCTCCCGGCTGGTCAGTCCCGCGGTGCGCCCCGCACGGCGCTCGCGGTCCTAAGTGCGAATTCAAGTGGGGTACAGGAAAGATAAATTCCCCGAATGCGAAGGGGGCTTCCGAGCAAGGAGTTATATAAGGTACCCCCAGGACGCTTTCCTAGTGACTGTTTGCATAATGGAGACAGTTGGGGCAATACGTGTAGAAGATTATTTTATAATCTCCGTTAACTGTTTGCGGAAGACACAAGGATCCTCGTATTTCTCCAGCTTTTAGACTGAGCATTACTCATGCTTACAAATGCAGCCATATTATCTCTGCCTTTTTTTCTCTTAAGGTTGTAAATTAAGTAGTTTCACACTGGTCGCCACTTGTATGGGGCTTCCAACAGATGCCGTGTGAATCTAGGAAGTATGGCATTTGATTTTTTTCTACAGAGCACTCGGTGAATTTCTCTTTCTTTCTCCACCTTGTCCTCTTGCACAAACTATAGCTCTCCCGCTGTTAAAACAGTCACTGTAACACAGATTATCCGGTTGTAACGTAGATCCCAGGGATGGGTAGGGAGTGTCCACACTGAGCTGCCAAAGACCCATCCAGCTTGGCAGATTTAATGGGAGCAAGGTTGCAGATCCTGAGAGCAGGGAGCTATGGTTCGCAACCAGGGTAAGGAGGTGGCAGTTCCTGAATTCGGCTCAGGGGTTTGGCAGCGCTTCCTGTGGTCTTAGGTAGATCAGTAGTTTCTTTGCAGATCGCACGTATCTTTCACTTTTAACTAGAAGTTTCCATGAAAAGAAACAGTTGCAGTGCCTCAGTTTTGCTGGTTGTGAAATGGCAATAAATACTTACTTAACTCTTTTAAAGCAATGGAGAACTTTTGGAGAATGGTTCAAATTAGAAGCTGACAGGGTCAGGCTTGAGGAATAACTGTCAGGTTTCATCAGAATTAGGTAAAACTATAATGGTGTAGTGAAGGTCTCTCTTTTCATGTGGGTTGACCAGACAAGACACCAGGATTTAGTTTGTATGTTTCCTGTCTCTATTCACAAAATAGGACTATTAATCTTGTAATTCTGGTCAAAGTCTAGGTTTAGCTAACTCTGTTTTAGCTTCCAAAAATAAAAAGGACACCAGCTAAAATCTGTTCAGAAAAGCTGGTGTAGAGTGAGCGCAGCGCTCCTTTTTAAATGAGACTACTCTTCAGTTGCAGGCAAGTTTGTAAACAGCTTGAAAATCTGCTACATCTTGCTACATAAGTCAGAGTAGTTACAATTATTTTCAGGAAGACTGAAATAATTTTCCTGTAGAATCCGTCAGTACCCATCCACACTTACACAGAAAGAATGGTTGTGAAAATACAGAGGAACCTCCACACACACACACTTCACATATCAGGGCCAGATTCCACTGTCTTTAAAAATCAAGGCAAACTCCAAGTAGCCTCTGCAGCAGATCTTGTGAGTGGCAAAGGCTGAAAGCATTTTTGTCTCAGCTAGCAACTAATAACAACTTTCCATGTTGGAGATCTATGTTTAAGCTCATGAACTAGCTTCCCTCATTCAGCTTATAGTATTCTTTTTGGTAATGCATTGCATAAAAGCTGAAAATCCTTAGAATTGAATCAAGGATGAATGTGTTCTTCGTATAGCTTTTGTATCTTTCCATAAAGATACAAGCATTTATTTGTGGCAGAGTGCAGTAATGTCTAACGGTTAACCATATGGTCTATTCTGATTTATGAAGTTTGGTATGGTATTAGCTGGTTTCTATACCAGTGATATAAAACAGAAGCCCAAGCAGGTATAATGTAGCTCCAGTCATAAGGTTTTTGATGTTAAAAATACTTGTTTTGTGTGCATGGATCTACATTATCTTTACTGTGTAGAAATATCTTTGCTGCCACTGTTTCCAGGTGTGTATTCCTCTGAAGACCTTATGGCAGTTGTTTCCTCCTAGGGATAGTGATTTTCTCTCGTTAATATTAGTTATTTCCAAAGTTATAATTTTTGTTGCTTGCATTTGTAGTTTTTAAAGTTGTGCCTGTGTACAGTTTAAACAATACTCAACTTTTGGCTTTGACAGGCAAGTTGTCTGAAGTACTCCTGGCAGTAGAGTGTTTTGAATACTTTACATGTGCACCACCAGTACTTTACTTCTGGTTTTATAAAGAACTGTTTGCAAGAGCTAATGTAATGCTGCAGTTTCACAATGAGTAGCCCCTTCCCCAGTCAATTCTTATTTTTAACCTTGAAAAACACAACTGCTATACTCATGCAAATACACTGTATCCAAGAAAATCTATTTTAGAGCAGCGGCCCGTGGAAGTTACTGTAAGCAGGCTGCAGTTATTCTACTTACATAAATTAATAAAATGAAAATCAGGAACTTAGTTACATGTTGACCACTCAACTGTAATCCATTGGCCTGGAAAGATGGAGAAACACCACGTATGAGAGTTTCTATACAGAATACAAAACCAGATCACATTTATTTATTTTATTTTATTTTTGTTGGCACACATCACTTTGTTTCAGGTGCTGACATTGTGGTCTGCAATAGTGAAAGCTCATAAAAATATTCTTCCATTTTGACAGTACTGGTTTTGTTAGCAGGAAATAGATGGCAGCCTCTGCTCTGATGAAGCTTAATACATATTTAAGTGCTTAGTTGGGCAACAAACTGTGAAAGCAACCTACTAGACTCTTTGTACAATACGTAGCAGTGATAGCACGATTACAAGATATATAAGGTAAACAGGCTGTAATGTAGGTGGATTTATTTAAGTAGCGTCCACTTAGCTACACTGTTGTCAGAATGAAGATTTATATTGTCTCTCTCCTCCCACTATACTCTATTTTCTCTCCCAGTTTTCCTGAAAAATTACCACATGCAACTATGTATCAAGTCTTGGGGTCAGCCTGGTGGTTGTGGAACACCAAATTCAAACCTAACCACAGATCAGGGTGTAACAAGACACTGCCTGTCTTCAGGACATTGGTTCAGGAAATAAAGGAGTCAGGAGGATGTGAATCTTCAGGCGTGGCTGTGTGCAATATTGCTTTTGGGAAGATAGGGATAAACCTGCTTTTTATTAAAAAAATGTAATCAGTAGCCTCAGACACAAGGAGAAATGAAAGCTAATGAAAAAATTTCTTCCATCTTTAAAGCTCTTTTACTAGTTTTTATTACAAGCGATGCAAGTCAGACTAATAAACTGCTTGGCAAAGAGATAAATCAGTTGCACAAAAAGGTAATTTTTAATTATTTTGGTTTTGGTTTTCGTTGTGTTTTTTTTTTAATTAAAACAGTGATACTTCTAACAACACCAGTAAATTCTAGCCAGCCAGAATACACCAATTTAAGCCAGTATAAAATGTTGTATTAGCCTTTCCTAAAAACACAACTGATTTTGGCAAAAGTCTTGTCTTTGAGCACAAACACATAGGAAACTGCTTTTAGACTGCATCTCTCTTGCTTCAATAATGTTCCTTCAGGTAATGTTCCTATAATGAATATCTGCTCCCATGTTCAGGCCAATATTTATGTTCTTTTGTTATGTGAGACTGAAATCAACTGATTTTGTCTTTAGCTTTAGGTTAAAGGCTTCATTCACAATGTTTCATGAAAACAGAATATTCAGAGGTGGTTTCGGAAGTCTGTGAGGAATATCTGGCTTTCTACAGCATCAAACTAGAAGTGGAAAGAGAAAGGGCAAAAGAACAGCTGAAACCTGAGGGAAACGAAGCTTAATAATGGAAATGAGAAAGGTACCGAGACAAGAATAGAAGGCAACGAAAATCCCCTGAGGGAAATGTATCAAGGGAGAGAAATACTAGAAGCAGAGGAAAAACAGGGACAATAGATGGATGAATGGAACAACAGAGGACAGAAACAGGAGACAGAAATGAGGAAGGAGCTCTATTCTGCAGCCCATTGGGGTATAAACGTAAATAAAATGAGGTAATTTTTACCTTCTGTTTTTGTAACATCATTTGGCTGCTGACAGTCCTTGAGAAGACTCATTATAATTTTCCTCAGGTAAAGCTGATTTATTTATGAAAGTTCTGAGAATTTAATTATTTATAAATACGTAACCACCTACCACCCCCGAGATTAACATAAACTAACATTTGTTCAACGAATGGGAAAATGTCATCACCATTTGACAGGAGAGAAGGCTATGGAGATTCATCTACGGCAGCTGTCAAAGAGGTTGGTTGTCCCTTTTTAACTCCCTCTTAGGTTGTAGTTCATGTTTTAGGATCATAAAGGGACATTAGACAGTGACCCAGTTACTTACATAAGAGAAAACCCACTTTCCACTGTTGACTAGCCCACCTGGGTCTGCTCACTTGCTGTGTGTTCAAGAAAAACGAGCATCCCTGCTGTCTTGATACTGTTGAAGGCATTACATTTCATATTCTTACTTGTTTCCAGGTTAAAATAGATTAGGAACTGCACCTAAACTTCTGTATATTGGGAGTCTTAAAATGTGGATATCTGTTCTCCAGCTAATGGAGAAATTTTTTTTTAATGACAGTTTGAATTTTAATTAGACAAGGGTTTTTTCCAAGTAAGGGATTTTATAAGTAGCAGATTTCACTGCAAGGACAATCTCCCAGGTCCTCTTTTTGTTAAATACAGTCTAGAAAATTATTTCTGTTTACAAATTTGAATATAATCAAAACTAAACAAAATCTGTTTTGGTAGGGTAAGATGATAGTTAGAAGCTGCAGATTTCAGAATGTTGAAGTTCCTTTTAGTAAAAAAAAATAATTGTGGTATATTAGAATTTATCTGTACTCCAGATATGCCTAATAGAATTTGTAAATTCTCTGAAACAAATGGCTGTGTTTCAAAGAGTCTTAAAGCTGTGCACACAGCCTGGTGAGATTTGTTCGGCTTGAGAGTTGTGTGATTCTCGTTTAGGAAGCTTTGAAGTTATACAGAAACCCTGGTGACCTTAATACCATTCTTCAGCTGTAGCCCAAGTAGTTTACAAAGTGAGCAGATATTCAGAAGAATTTGTCCAATTTATAAATCAGATAACTGCTGTTCATTTTACTCCAGATAGAGGACAGAATTTAGTGCAGAATGCTTTGGAACCTGCAAATAAAGACAGCATACCTTACCTGTACAAGTGTGTGCTGGCAAGGCATGTGTCTTAGAAGTTTCTCAGATTTGAAACACTTTCAAATACATCTTCTTCACAAATTCTGATAAGAAATTTCTGGGAATAAGTGTGTGTCTCAAGTGGCTGGAATTCAACATACGCATAAATAGAGACAATGTAGATGCCTCAACAAAATTGTGTTAAAATTTGCAGTTTTAAATAATGAAGTGCTTTCATTTCATCCTTTCCATTTCTATGTTAGACACAAACTTCTTATAAAAATCACATTTACACATTTAAAAATCAGAGAAAATATATAAAAAAGAACCCCACACTTTTGCAAAGGAGATATTTTAAGTGGTTTGTTTCAATACTGAATCCCATTTTCTTCATATTTCACAGCTCTTACAAGCTTACTGCTTCCCAGTCATGTATTATAGGAACATCTGAGGCATAAGTAAATTCTGAGCTTTTATTAAAACACTGAGCTGTTCATTTACATTAGTGATAGCTCAGGAAAATTCATGAAAGGTAATCCATGTTATTTAAATTCATCCATTGGTTCTGATACTTGCCAGCCTGATGGACACAATAATTTTGAAGAAATAGGCAAAATTTGTGTAGGATTTTAAATTTTTGTTGACCCTTCTTATAAGTTGACTCAGATTTGACAAATCATTTCTGTATCTAGTTAAATCCAGTTAAGCAGGTGCTTAATTTCACCTGGTGAATAGCAGCCTTTCTTTCAGGCTTGTTCCCTGTACTCTGCAAATGTACTTCACTTGGGAGTAAGACTGGACAGAGAGATGGAGATTGAGTGAGAAGGCTGAGATTCATGGAGGAGAGCAGCTAAGCAGTATAGGATGGATGACATGATGAGGATTGAACAAAACCTTGGAGAAATTTGTCAGGGCTGCTAATGAGCCTGTGGGGAGCAGGCCTATGTTCAGGAGATCTGGAGAGATGACAGCTCAGCGTCTCTTGGCAGTCTCAAATTGTATATTCATGGTCAGTGCCTATGTGTTTTTTATGGCCTTCTTGATATACTAATATGGGAGCATCAAGGCACAAAAGCTGCAGTTGAAAACCCTATCCTTACAGCATTCTTCACCTTTCAGTAAGTGCCTATCTCTAGAATACAGCAGTCCAAGAACACCCTAACCCCAGATATAACAGAATACTTGTGCTTCTCCCATCCTATCCTCTGTACAGTAGAGGTCTATAGTAGCTTGGAAGTCTCTTGTAAGAGGGCTCTGTCATACCCAGAACTTCACTGTTCTAACCCTTTTGCCCTTAATTTATACCCAGGCTGGAAACTAAAATTGTGTTGTACCATATTAGGTTAATTCTGTGACAACATTTTGTGGATGGAAGCTGAAAAATTCTGCTAGCCTAGCTATTTAATGTGAATATCAAAAAAGCATAAAGTGTGACCACCTGCAAGCCTTCATGGTCTCTAGAGTGGTGTGTTTGCCTGGGGAGGTCTGCATGTTGCTGAGGTTGGCCTGTTCTCTGGCAGCTAGGAACTCCTTTTGGGAGCATATTTAAAAACACCTCTTGTCTTTGATGTTGGACGTGACAGTCCAGTGACTTAGATTAATGGGACTATTTTAATGTTTCTAGCCTGAAATGCAACCTTACAAGCACATGCTACTATTTAAAGGGGCAGTAGCACATCTTTTCCCTTCTCTAGCCTTGCTAAGTTTGTTCCTGTATGCCTTCTTTATGGGAGAAATCCCATCATGCTCTCAGTCAACAGCACCCAGTACCCTGCAGGCAAAACTTGAGTTGAGTTCAGTACTGCCAAATAGCTGCTTGTGCTACATGAAGGCTTTGGAACAATTCCTTAAATCAAAATGCTGTTTTATTTTGACAGTAGGAACAAAGCATAGGAAAAGAAAAGGGTTTTAAAACCAAAGCAGGATTCTGCACATCTCTCTTATCTAAATCTTCCGCCTCTACAGAATGTTTGACTTGCCTCTCCTGGGCCTCAGGAGGAGCCGACTGAAGTTAGTCTTCTGAGTCCAGTGTGCTTGGTAATAGCATCTTCATATCTCTTGGCTGCTTCCTTCAGCAATCTTCCAGTGTGCACAGCAATCTTCCAGTGAAAGTCACTGGATTGCTGGTATGTTAGGACCCATTTGTACAAATATTTAAGACACCCCCTCTGAACTTCAGTGAGCAATTTAAGAGACAATGCAGTGAGTGAACGTGACCATCAAGAGAAGTGGCAGCAGCAATGAACAGTTGTGAGGTATTTCCACACTTTTTCTCTTTTTTTTTCACTCTTCCTTAAGTAACTAGTAGCCATTATTTTCCCCTTTCTTCTCCTGTGTTTATGTATTGAAATGATTTTAGAATCAGGATGTTGTTCTATAACGGGGAAAAAAAAAAGCCAATCACAACAGAACACTGGTTTGTGAATACACTCATTGTAAAAATGTCTGGTATGATTAAATGAATTTAGAAATCCATTAATATGCTTTATAGGAATGCATTTGCTCTCATCCTGCAAAAATTGTTGGACAGTCCACTTTCTTACCTGATTCTCCACAAAGCTCAGGCAAAATATACAGACATGCTGGCTTCTGCCCTATGGAATTAGGGGGAAAGTGGGGAAATGTTGGCAGGTGGTTGAAAGAGATGGAACGTATACATAAGGGACTGCTGACAGGAACCAAGCAGGTTCAGTGTTTGGTTATTTTGGGGTTGTTTTTTTGTTTGTTTGGTTGTTTTTTTGTCTTTTTTAGTTTTCTTGCAAATTCCGTCACCCATTCACAGCAAGATAGTGCTTCAGTCCAGTCAAAGATACTAATCAATACCTTTATGTGCAGCAGTGCCCAAAATACAGTGTGCGCTTTCCAGGCAAAAAAACAGTCTTCTGTATCTAATATTACAATGTAATTACTGTCTTTAAAGTTTTTTCTATTTTACAAAAGAATCCTTTCTTACTCTTCACATTCTCTTCCACAGCCATCTAAATCCTTCAGGCTTCTCTATTTCATTGCCCATTTTTCTGTAATGTCTTCCTTGTCACTATCTCCTCCAATTATCTGTTCTTTTCTGGTGTTCATCCATCTCCCCCTCTGTCTTCTCCTCTGGTCTGTATTAATTATGTGACAGCTTCTTCCATTACCTACACTTTCTACTATCCTTTTTAGGAAAAGAATTAAAAAAGCCTGGTGCTCAGCTTTCTAATTTCAAGAGGCTAAGTGATTTTTTTCTTCTCTTCAGTTATGTATCAGTTGTTTACAATCAGTTCAAAATCATGCTTCAGTTTTGCCTAGTGTATGTATACAATAAGTGAGAATACATGAAAGAATGTATCTGGTAGGAAAGAAATGTACAGAATTGAGCCCTGTTCATGTAAATGCTATTTATACAGCATTCTTGTACCCACACAAAGCCCACACTGAGTACCACTGAAGTCATCAGGATCCTGCTTTTCTAACTCAGCTGTAGTAGAGTTTAAACAGTTTTGGTGAAACTGTGTAAAATGGCATGCATCACTCCATCCTTTCAAGAAGTAGTAAGACTGGCTCTCCAGTTTATACAGCTAGAGGAAAAATGGCAGACACTGGACCGATTTTTTGACCATAGAACAGAATAGAATCACAAAACAGTTTGGGTTGGAAGGGACCTTCAAAGTCATCTAGTCCAAAACCCCTGCAATGAGCAGGTGCATCTTCAACTAGATCAGGTTGCCCAGAACTGCATCCAGCCTGGCCTTGGATGTCTCCAGGAGTGGCGGATCCATCACCTCTCTGGCCAGCCTGTGCCAGTATTTTACCATCCTCGTAAAAACCTTTCTTTCCCATGTCTAGTCTGAATCTCCCCTCTCTTGGTT